CCATACATCACATCCAAACCCATCATTCATCTCAGGAAGCCCAGAAACAGTGCTTCAATCTGACAAATATAGGCAGTGTAATTAGACTAGGCATAACTTGCGTACATGTAAGTAAGTAGTAGAAGTAGACTCTAAATAATATCTTGTGTTGTATTACTTTATATAGGGCTAAAGTAGGCTGTTTTGCGAGAGAATGGGGTGGTTTTAGTGGGGGCTTGGCAAAAGTGGCCGGCTAACCCGTGTGGCCGGCCAACCCGTTAGGTACGTTACTTACTTTTGCGCTTTGCAGTAAGGCACATAGTGCAACGCCTACTTTTTACTCTAGCTTTTAAGTAAGCGTAAGAAAAGTTAACCTATAGATATTTTAATAAAGTCTTAATATATTTATAATGCATTAAATATTATTTACTGTTTGCAATGATGACACTCGGATGCATCGTCAGCATAGTCACACGATAGTCGGATGTGTCGGATGTGTCGTCACACGATGGTCGGATGCATCGGCAGATGCATCAGCACCATAGTCTGTTACCAAGACCCACCCACTTATTTCGCATATATATAGACTCCTGCAAAGGACTCCTCGAGCAATACATACAATGCAGTTCCTCATGTCTCTGGAGCCTCACATAGCTTCACAGTTATGAGCCCGGCAATCGCTTGCTAGTCAATCGAGCTGTTTTCAAACCTCTACCAGGGAGAGCTCCTTTGACACCCTGCGTACAATTGTGACCTCTTTGTCACACCCTACCACCTCAAAGTCGCTCTTTTGCAGCACTTTAGGTATCTTTTAAGACCTTTTGGTCCAAAGAGGCGACTCAAAGTCTCTACTTCACCAGTCGCATCAATCGCGACCTCTACAATCTCCTGAGCACGCTACCAAAGCTCTCAGTCGAGCACATCAGGGACATTCGTCCACATCAAGGACATATTCGTCCACCTCAAGGACATATTCGTCCACCGCAACGACAACATCGTCCACATCAAGGACAACATTGTCCACATCAAGGACAACCCTCGTCCACATCAAGGACAACCTCGTCCAACTCAAGGACAACCTCGTCCAACTCAAGGACAACCAGGTCCACATCAAGGACAACCCTCGTCCACATCAAGGACAACATCGTCCACATCAAGGACAACCAAGTCCACCGCAAGGACAATCTCGTCCACCTCAAGGACATCCACATCAAGGACATACGTCATCAATATGACAGATTTCACTGATTTGCTAGTCTCAAAGACTACAATCATCCTCAATACAACCAATGACTGGGACCGATGGATCTACCTCCAAAGGTCAGTCGCGGAACAGCTATTTGTCTGGGAATACTGCAACCCAGAGCTCTCAGCAGATGAGGTGATGATACTAGGAGACATACCAGTTGAGCCAACATATAGCGATCATCAATCGGGCGCCACCAAACCATCTGAAATGGATGCAAAAAACCTATCCGACTATACCGCTGACCACAATCAATGGGAGCGCAAAATCACAGAGTACAAGATCCTGCGCAAATCTCTAGCTAGGGTGAGTGCAGAGATCTCTCGGACAATTGCACTCCAGCATTACTTCCTGATTGAGGATCACAATGATGCCTACAACAAACTCGTAGCGCTCAAACGTCAACTAGCACCAACCAGCTCCAATCGCCAAAGGATACTTATAGAGCAATACCGAGCTCTTCAGAAGAAACCACACAAGGATTTTGACGCATGGCTGAGCGAATGGCTACAAACTGTTGGGCAGTGCAGGAGAGCGAATCTTCCAGATGTCCAAGGTACCCGCGTGCAAACCGACTTCCTTCGTACTATTAAGCCTCTAGCACCAGAGTTCGCAGCCAACGCACTGCTCTATATCATAGAGAAAGAGGACTGTAATGATCTTGCATCAATTCCAAGCCTAGAAGACTACATCTCTCGATACCGCACCTGGCACCGCACTATGAACCCTGCGGCCAGCGTATACGATCTCTCCAGGCATTGCGTCGCGTCGATAGGTCCAGCCGTATTGGGTGTTGTTGCAGATGTGCGCGTTTGAGCCAGGATCTAGTATCCAACGATTGATGAGGCTTGGTACAGCGACAGAGGTGCTGAAGACCTGCTGTAGAGCATTT